TTTAGTAGAGAACCATAAACAGAACAAGTCGGAGCGGGAGCCCACGCGACACACGACTTACTCCACCTCCATCTTTCCCTGCCTCCTCGGATGTTGCTGTAGATTTGTCAGCTGCACAGGATTGGACTGAGATCTGTTGACTCTGTTTTTCCCGATCTCKTAGTCTGTGCCTCAAATCAGGGACTGCGTCCTCCGAGGTGCACRTTTGTAGGCTGGTTACGTGGCTGCACCGCGTCGAAGGTTGTCCCGTTTTGTGGGCTCATTCTAGGGCTGGGCGATATTAGCCAATAATGATTTACATGACGGTTACCCATTGCAGTCCCTGGACACCAGGACGTCTTAGTCCCATGAACAATTTAAATTGTTGTGATGGAGASACAGTGAGACTGAGCAATGAGATATGACAGATTGATATTTAGCGTGGTTGCATTTTATAGTTTAGCCAGTTTTAATGACTTTGAGTCGAAACAATGAGGCGATGTTTGAACGTGGCACTGCGGACAGATGGACGAGCTACAGTCAGAACCTTTGTAGAGAGAGGAGGGATGCTCAAAGGSAGAGATGGAGGAAACAACAGTCTAGGACAGAGTGAGGACTTTGATGAGGAAGTAGGCAATCTGTTATTTAAATTAGAAGAGGARAGAGAAGAGGAGCACCGAGCGGACTACTGGGGGAAATCCCACAGTCAGTCTAGACAAGTGCCAAATAATAACTGGCGGACGTTTTTCTGACGATTAGTTGCCCAACCCTCCCCTCCTTCTTATGAGGCCAACAAATGCGGTCTAAAAAACCTCCGAAAACAAAGAATGCATCTGACTATCCTTTGCAGCCAACAATATCCCAGGATCCATTGAGCCATCATCAAATGTCAAAAGAGTGGAGTTTGGAAAGTCTGCAATKTCAGAAGTTAAATAACTCAAGCACTGATCCTTGAGCTAARCCCATRTTATTAATGTCTTCTGTGTATTTATTGCTTTTAAAAATACAAAGATTTTTTAACTTACAGCTCCTGTGAAACCATGTGACTACATGTTTTAGGCCTGATGTGATATAAAATGTGGTGACTGGGTAGTGCATGGTTTCACAAACAAACCGTCTAATTTAACAGCTGTTATAAACAGCCTGCCTGGACTTTGAAAGGTGTGGCCTCCAAGAGTCCCGGTCTACCTGAGCTGCAACCCCTGAATTGAGACGCAGCACTATTGTCTAATTTTGGTGAACCTTTGTTCACCTGCGAAAGTTTGAACCTTTGTTCTGAATGTTTGTTTCAACAGCGTCACTTCCAGCGGTTTGTAAAGTACTTGAAAAAAAAAAACTAAATAAAAGTAAAATTACATGAACTGGACAGGACTTTAGTAAAGATGAATTTCACTGATGAGAAAACTACTCAAGTAAAAGTCATAAAACTCTTCTCAAAAATTGGGAAAGTCAAAGTAAAAGTACTTTTACACACTCTCTAAGAATGTTGAATTTACTGAACCAAACTGGTTCCATTAAGCCAGGTTGAGTAAATTAAACAATATGCTTACTGTATATTCTTTGCTTAATTTACTCGACT